GTGTTGAAATAGGTTTGGCATCGAGCATCTGAGCATGATCAAGAAGATCCCATACATATTTGCTTTATGAGAGAAAAATCCCACCTGTAAACTAAGATACCTCTATGCCAAAAAAGTAGTGAAGAGGTCGAAGGTCTTTCATTGCAAATTCCCTTCCAAGTTGGACAATGAACCATTCTAGAATATCTTAATTATCACCAGTAACAATAATATCATCAACATAAATGAAAAGGGGAATAGTACCTTCATTAATCGAAGTTAGCTCTATTAAAATAAAAGAATTTTAATAGCTTTAGTAGAAAAGATGATGATAGCTTTAAATGAAGAGAGAGAAAGAGGATGTAAATGGTTTTAAATGAAAAGAGATATAAGATATACATAATATGGAAGATAGAAGAATGTTCAATGAAGAGAAATAGAAAGAAGATATATTGTATTTTAATAAAAAGAGATAGGGTATAGAGAATATAAAAGAAAGAGAAGAACATTAGATACATGGAAAGAAAGAAAGAGAAGTTATGTTGTATATTTTAATGAAGAAAGATAAATGATGCGATAAATATGCAAGAGAGAGAGGGAGAGAGAGAGAGAGAGAGAAGTTTTATGATTAGGGGTCAAATTTTCAACGGTGTCAATTCTACCTTTGTGGAATTGATTCCTGGGAAAGGGTTGATTTCTAGTCTTGCTGATATTAGACCCATAAGTTTGCTGACAAGCCTGTATAAGATCATTGTTAAGGTTTTGGCAAAGAGGCTGAAGTTGGTGTTGCCTATTTTTATCTCTAATACCCAATTTGCATTTATTAAGGATCATCAAATCACAGACAGTGTTCTTTTAGCTCAAGAATGCATCCATTCAAGAGTTATTAGTAAGAAGTCGGGTATTCTTTTTAAGTTGGATATGGAAAAAGCCTATGATAAGGTGGAGTGGGGGATCTTTTTGGAAATTATGAGAGTTATGGGCTTTGGCAAGAGATGGAGATCTTGGATTTTTTGGTGCTTATCATTAGCTCATTTCTCTATTTTGTACAAAGGTAGTCCCGTAGGATTCTTTAATGCCTCTAGGGGGTTGCGACAAGGGGATCGCTTATCTCATTTCCTCTATACAATTTATGTTGAATGCTTTAGTTTAATGTTAAAGAGAGTGGAGAATGAAGGCTAATTCATTGGGTTTCAGATTGATAACTCTGATATCTAAATCTCTCATTTTCAATATGCAAACAATACCCTTATTGTTTGTGAGGATGGGGTGATAGAGGATATGGCTATTGTTGTGGGTTGTAAGGTTGGCTCTTTCCCAGTGACCTATTTGGGTCTTCCTATCTCTGATTCAAAACTTACGATTGCTGTCTGGGATATAATGTTTGAAAGAGTTTAAAAAAAGTTGGATTTATGGAAGTACAAGTATCTCTATTTGGGTGGTATGGTTATTCTTTTGAAATCGTGTTTATCAAATTTTCTTGTTTACCAGATGTCTTTGATAAATATGCCTGCCTCTGTTGCAAGAAAATTGGAAAAAATGATGCGAGACTTTCTCTAGGCCTCCTGTTCCATTGGGAGGAAGTTCCATTTGCTTAGATGAGATAGAGTATGTATACCTAAAAAAAATGGTGGGTTGGAACTAAGGAGAATTAGGGTGTTTAACCAAGCACTATTATATAAATGGTGGTGGAGAAGCCGTAAACTCGATAACCATTTGTAGTATAAAGTTCTTATCGCTAAATATGGAGTTGATAGATTATATGTGTGGTTGGGTAATGGGCACAAAAGAGAGGTTTCACAGGTGTGGAAGTCCATCTTTAGATGCAGGCCCATTATTTCAGGTTATTCTTAATGGAGTGTTAGTTATGGTACGCAAGTATCTCTGTGGCATCATAAATGGATAAGGGATTATCCGTTGAAAGTGGCCTTTCCTGATCTTTTTGGATTGGTAACTCAGCTGACAGTGACCATTCATGAAGCTTTAGAAAGAAGATGTCTGCAAAGTTCTTGGAATATTTCTCTATCTTATGGCTGACTAAGTAACCACCTATTATCTCAATGGTGCTCTCTTATGGAAATGCTGGATAACACCTATGTTACTACTGATGCTGAGGATGAGATTGTATGGGAGATTGAAAGTGATGGTGTTTTTTTGATGAAATCTTGTTATAATCTATTATTCCATTATAAGATTAGATGGTCTAACTTCAATGTTACTGTTGTTTGGAAATGGCCAATACTACATAAGGTACAGTGTTTCATTTGGCTTGCTTCTCTGAATAGGATTTTAACAGTTGATAACTTGATTAAAAGAAGAAAAATTTTGCCTAATGTTTGTATTTTGTGCAAAGAAGAAAACAGTGGCACATCTCTTGATCCATTGATTCTTTACATCTCATGTGTGGTCCTGGCTTTTCTCCACACTTGGGAAAATTTTGTCATGCCCCATTCAGTGGAAGGTATTATCTCTCAGATGTCTTTAAGCCATTTGCCAGTAGGTGGGAAGGTCCTATGGAAGATTTCTAAAAGGGTTATCCTTTGGGAAATACGGAAGGAGAGGAATAGAAGAACCTTAAATAAGAGTTCATTGTCCTTTGAAAATCTCATCGCCAAAATTAAGCTATCCATTGGGATATGGCTATCAGTGACTAAGGAGGGTTGGGGTATTCCAATTGTGGATGTTTTGTCTAATCTTCACAATATGTTTTCTCTTGGTATTTCTTGTCCCAAATCGAAGAGCTTTTGGTTGGCACCTGACTTTGGGAGAGTTAACTAAATTTCGATGGAAGTTCCTTTGGAAATCCAGGTAGGGCTGGCATTGGTGGTGTTGGACGTGACACCATTGGCTGTGTTATTCTCTCATCTACTGGCCCGATAGGGCAAAAAATAGCAAATTTTGCTGAATTGAGTGCTTTGTTGTGTGGGTTGAAAATTTTATTTGGGATGAACATTACTGATAATGTCTGGATTGAAGGGGATTCCTTGAATGTGATAAAATGATACCAATTGGAACAAAAGGTTCCATGGGAATTGCGATTTTTGTGGTTGCAAATAATGGATTTAGTTGGACCTTTTATTTCGTTCAATCATGTCTATCGGGAAGTAAACTCCATTGTCGATTCTTTGGCTAAAGGAGATGCATCGTTACCTTCGTTGTTGATTTGTTCTGATGTAATTTCTTTCGCTTAGTCATCAATAATACTTTTGAACATTTGTCAAAAACAAGAAAGAGAGAGAGGAATGTTAGATACAAGGGTGAAGTTGGCATCCGTAGCTGCAGAGGTAAGGTGTACCTTCAAATTTGATCATGGTATATAATTTTGACATAAAATGTTCTTAGGATTATCTCAAAATATGTTTTATATCTAATTATAAAATTTTAAATTTAAAAAATGGTTAAATCAAGTAGATCTATAAACATATGAAAATCTTGAAGATGGACCGTGTAGATAATATATTGTAAAATGCACTATTTCTGATACTTAAAATCTTTTTATTTTTCATGGTCATACATCTCGATGTCGAGATGATCAATCAAATAGTTTTTCAACATTAAAACTACTGTTTCCAATGGATTTTTGAGGTTAGTCCGTAGTTCTACATTATAAGGTTGCATCCTTATATAAACTTTTGCCAAGATACAATGAAGGGAAAGAGAGAAGATATATTATATTTTAATGAAGAAATATAAGATGTAAATAATATGGAAGAGAGAGAGGAACATAGGAAAAGAGAGAGAAGATGTGTTGTATTTTAATGAAGAGAGATAAAAGATGGGGTGAACTATGGAAAAAACAAAGAGATAAGATACAAAGAATATGGAAGAAGGAGAGGAACATTAGATTCAATAAAGAGAAAGAGAGAAGAGGAGTTAGATGTCAAAAAGAAAAAGAAAGAGAGAGGAGACATGTTGATTTTTAATGAAGAGAGATAAATGTTGGGGAGCATATGGAAGAGAGAAAGGAAGTTAGATATAATGAAGGGAATGAGAGAAGGTTTGTTATAGCTTAATAAAGAGAGATAAGATATAGATAATATGGAAAAGAGAGAGGAACGTTATATAAGGAAAGTGAGAGAAAGTGTTGCATTTTAATGAGAAGAGATAAAGGACGAAGTGAACCATGGAAACAACAAATAATAAATGGCTAAAATATGTATAATTTACATAGTAAGAGGATGTATTTCAAAATAAAAAAGATACTTGGCACGAGAATAAGAGGGACCTCTTCTCATTTTATATATAAAATAATAATAATAGATAATAGAGTGTGTATATATATATTTATAAAGCTTGGATGAATCCACTAGCTTATGGAATAGTATAAGCCCAGTAAAATTCCCAATAACCCAATAATTCTATTGGGAACCTTAGGTTTGGAAATAATAAATATTATATGTTATCAACAAAATTCTTCCAATTTTCAGCTGAGTTTTTCAAATTGAATTCACCTTTTTGAAAGAGAAAGAATAGGATATTGGCTTTTTAGAGGCAGAAATTAGAGATAGAAAGATAAATAGAGAAAGAAATATTGGTTTTTAGAGAGAGAAAGAGATATTTGGTTTTTAAAGAGATATAAAGTGTTTTAAAGAGAAATTGGGTTTTCAGAGAGAAAGAGAGAGAGATTTGATTTTTAAAGAGAAAAATTGAGTTTTTAGAGAGAGAAAAAGACTTGATTTTTGAAGAGAGAAATTGGGTTTTTACGTAAAGAGAAAGCGAGGGATTGAGTTTCTAGATAGGGAGATTTTTTAACGGATTAACTAGAACAACCCAGCCTGTTGGACAAATTCCGGGCTTATCAAACCCGCCCGGCCCTGCCTGAGAACAGTTTATATTAAAAAATAGCTCCGGCCAACGCTGACACGAGGCTCGTTAGCAGGTCCCGCGGGCAGGCCCCATTATTTACCCATCTAAAAGTATTATTCGTACATATGGGCGCCCATTATTTACCCATCTAAAAGTATTATTTGTACATATGGGCGCCCATTATTTACCCATCTAAAAAGTATCCACAAATAATAGAAGATATTATTATATTACCATATTCCAATTTTTCTGCAACTCGTAGATGGTGCATACTCCTCCCCGCTCTATTTCCCACTCTTACAATCCAAAAAGAAAGAAATAATCCAACTGCCTACCTGACATAAACACTCAATCCAGACCGTCCAATTCAGAAAAAGAAAGTAGACTCTCTCCCGGAAATAACACCTCTGAAACCAACTGGTTTAGAGAGAGAGAGAAATTTAGAGAGAGAGAGAAAGAAAGAGAGAGAGGTTAGTTGGTTCTTTACAGAGAGAGAGAGGGAGAGAGAGGTTAGTTGGTTCTTTACAGAGAGAGAGAGGGAGAAAGATGACTTCTTGGTTTCTTTAGAAAGCGACGGCTTTGTGGTTCTCTTAAGAGGGAGACGGTTGCTTGGGTTTCATCTATTAGACTTCGGAGTTAATGGCTCTGGCTCCGAGAACTTCATTTTGCTACTCCCATATTCAAATTCGTATCCCATCGTCAAGCTCTGTGAAAATGGCCAATTCCCATTCTCCAAATTATGCAACATCGTCCAAAACTATGGGCTCCATGAGAGAGAACCGGAGGCTGCCCATCTTGCTTTTTGATGTTATGGACACAATTGTTAGAGACCCATTTTACCAGGATGTGCCAGCCTTTTTCAGGTATATTGGTCAACTGTCTCTCTCCTGTTTCTGCTTCTGCTTCTTTGTTCTGTTGATCTTGTTTCTCTGCTTCTAACAGATTAAACCATGTTTGTTCTCAGTATGTTTATATTCTAATGTTAATACTATTGTTTGGATTTTGTTTATTTGACTTAAAAAGAATTTATTATGGAGACATTTCCTACTTTTCCCCAGCAATGTGTAGATTAATTATTTTTTCTGTTGCTTTATGCTCTTTCTTTTAAAGTGTTTGCAATTTTGAATGCATTAAGATCATGAATGTGGATAAATTTTATTCGTTTTTTCATGCACTATCCTGTCTTTATTCCTGTTGTGGCTTTTCTGAAGATTGAATGGATTGGGATAAAAAATTCTTGGGAGAATTATTGTGTCTTCCTCTGAATCCAAGTTTGCGTTTTTCTGTTATTTGCTGGTCTGATATTTCCTATTCTCTTAACATGTCTGTTCACTTTAAAGGGTTTATGTATTTTAAAAAATCAATCATTTTGATTGATATAATTAAGCTTCAGATTTCTTTTGTTGAGGAGAATGTAACTTTATGTTTTCTGATTGTGAATTTTGACTATTTCATGTCTGCATTGTAATGGGTTGTAAAATGACAAATAAATTAGTCAATTGAGGGATCGTAGGATGTGTAGTCTACATGTAGTTTGCATATTGGGATGCCATGTATTCCTCTAGCCTTGATTACAATGAGATCCTTCCACCATATTGTTGCATTCTTTTTCTTAATTCTCTTAGTTGTTGTTAGGAGCACAACCTGAAGATACTGTTTTGTTCATGTGCAGGATGCCTTTCAAAAAGCTACTCAATGAAAAGCATCCGAAAGCTTGGATTGAGTTTGAAGAGGGTCTCATTAATGAGGTATGCCTATCAGCTTATTTAAATTAATTATTTGGGCAAAAAGCTGACTTATTGTAAGGCTAGACTTTAGATAGAATTCATGTCTATTTTCATGCTTCATGTATTGAGTATCGTGATTCAGTGTTTAAGAACCCAGACTCGGGTGAGGACTTGTTGTGTTGTCTCAGCTTCTGGATGCTGAGCCTGAGTCAACCAGTTCAGCTCGGTCGAATATAAACAAGACTCAGCGGAGTCTATAAAAGTTAACAAAGAAGGGCCAGAAAAAAGGTGAGACTTGGGCGAGATCGAGTTACTGACTCAGGACACTCCAGGTTCCCGAGCTGTGCCGACTTTGAGCAAGCCCCATGTCAGCTGGGCTAGTTTTAAATGCAGTGATTCATTTACTAAATACGTAATTGTTTTTTAACTCATAGGCATTTGTTGAATGTAAGTTGAAGGCATAATTTTGCAGACATGTTTTGAGACCAATCTTTTTGAAAATGCTTTTATTCATTCCGAGAAGTGAACCAGCTTGGTGATTTGTCAAATTCAGAAGAAGACTGTTGAATTTATTATTTGAAATAAAAAAGTAAATATGAAAACGATGGAAAGGACTATTTTATAATTCAAAATGTGGAAAGGAATATTAAGATGAGAAAATGTTCACAGAAATATATATTGTTATTAGTAGTTGTGGTTTTGGAGGGTCTCACCATGTTGATGAATGACTATTGTAATTTCATTTTTGATGTCATTTGTTGCCATCATATATATTGAAGTGTCTTAATGGTTTCTTTGCATGTGTAATATTTCTAAGTTTGGCATTGTAGCTTTTCTATGATTTGGGGCACGAGCCCCTTGGGGTCCATAGAATGGTAGAAGCAAGGAACTCTAGCTCTAGTATGATACTAATGATGGTTTTAAGCATGGTCAAATGAATGATCAAATTAAAATAAAAAAAAAGTCGCATGTGTGCTATTAGTATCTTTAATTGTAACCAGATGAGAGTAGGAGTATAGAACTTTAAGGGTCTCTTCATGTATTCCTTCTGGGATGGCCCATGCCATTTACTCTTTTTGCTTGATATCCCATTTGGGTCTGTGTAGCACGTGCAAAAGGTGGAATTTTGTCTTTTTTGATGCCATTCATGTTAGAAGGGTTATGCCAGGGAGATCAACCATTGAGACTATTTTCCTATTAAGGCAATTGATTAAGAAGTTTAGGGAGAAGAGAAAAGACCTCTACATAGTCTTCATTAATTTAAAGAAAACATATGATAGGGTACCTAGAGAGTTAATTTAGTGGGTGTTGGAAAATAAAGGAATCTCTGGAAAATATATTGACATAGTGAGGGATATGTACGGGGGAGTACTAACAAGTGTGAGGGTAACTAATAAAGAGATAAGTGAGTTTTTCAGTTACAACTGGCCTACATCAGGGGTCGGCATTGAACGATCTCTTTGCTCTGGTTATGAATGAGTTAACTAGGCATCTTGGATGAGGTAGTATGGTATATGTTGTTTACAGATGACATAGCTTTGATTAATGAGACTAGCGACGGCGTCAACACAAAGATAACACGTTGGAGGGATGCTTTGGAATCTAAAGGTTTTAAAATTAACCAGATTAAGACAAAATATATGGAATACAAATTTGGTAATAATAGGAGTGGAGATGAGAAATTAGTTAAGATTGATGACCAAGTAGGAACTAAAAGAGATTATTTTTAATATCTTGAGTCGATAATCCATGAGAATGAAGAGATTGAGGAAGATGTTACGCATAGAATTAGAGCTGTGTGACAAAGTGGAGATGTTCTTCTAGAGTCTTATGTAGTCGTTGCATGCCAGTGAAACTGAAGAGGAGTTTCTATAAGATGGCTGTAAAACCAGTTATGCTTTATGGAATGGAATATTGGGCAGTCAAGAAACAATATATATATATATATATATATATATATATATATATATATATAGTAAGTAC